GGGGAAATATCGGTGACACCTATTCCTCGTTGGCAACGATTCTCGAAAATCCGACAGAAATTTGGATGATCTCACCTACCGTCGCTGAATGATCGCTTCGCGCTCTCACGGCTAACAAAGAAGCAGAAATATTGCGAAACGTTGCAAAACGACTGCGAATCGCTCATCAACAAGATCGACAAAGCGACATTGTTGTTTGACGATTAGAAGCTTAGAGGGTGAAAACTCTGTCGGTTGTTTTCTGAGAGTTGTTTTCTTGTTATGATTATTGGAAACTTCGTGGACGGTTCTACAGAATGGTTCGTCACAATTAGTTTTTAACATCCCTCTGATTCAAAGTCTATGCTTTCGATTACCATTACAGAAGAATGAATTTTACGCGAGCTCATTAGTCGATTCGAGCGTTTGATTTTAGGCATATGTAAGTATCTAAGGACCGAAGTCAGAAGTTCAGTAATTAAAATTAAATAAATATCGCTCGAGGAACAATCTCGTATCAAAGTGTTCCACCAAGAGTTCGAATTGTTCTTTACTTTGCTTTAGATGAAGCTCGAGAAACCTAGGGTTACATAAGTGGCTGCAGTGTTTCATGCCCGATGAAATGAAAAGTTAACCAGGCGCACAGTTATTTTTCAATTAACACGATCGCTGTAATCATTGGCGCCCGTTCGGTTCCCCTGTAATTTACCAATCGTCATTGCGCACGCCCTCCGATTAATGCCGCGTTTTTCCAGCTGGCCCGCGACAAGGAAAACACGCGACTTGAACGGACCCGTTCACCACACTTACCGTCCTCCTCGAGGTTAAAGAGCCAATTATCGTCAGCGTCCATCGGCTCGAGAGTTTCTCCGTCCTCGAGCATCCCGGCTTGGAACAGAGGAACGATCGAGTCGATGGATTACTACATCGATTGCGCTTTTGCAAATATTTCGACTACTTCGATTATTTTCAAGAATTTCACAATTTTCGAGACGCCAACCTTAAATATTTTCCACAATGTTTTTAGCGACTATAGCACCAGGCGACTCATATCTCGAGTAAGCAATTGTAAATCGAAGAGTACGTTGCGTAATCGCGCGATGCCACTTGGAAGCTGCTCTTCGACAACCGTGAAATTCGCAGGTGTGAAACAGGGACGAGCACACGTTGCAACCCCCATTTGATTGTTTCTTTGAACAGGTGAGAGACGATCGATCGAACCGACACTAACTGTAATCACACTTTCACTCCACCAGCTTCGTTACCATTTTCGAGATCTGGCTGTCGAGGTTTTCGTTCGGCATGATCTTTCGCCTTTCGACGCCGCTCCTGGGCCTCAGGACGGGAAAAAGTCCTCTGGCGAGGCTGGACAGTTGCTGGCCCATCGACGCCCGCGAACCGTCGTTTGTCGGCGTCAGGAACAAACTACTGCGTTGCCCTCGAGGTGATATCGATCGGTTGCCGGTGGTTACCGAGCAGTTCCTTCGACTACCGCGTGTGACCACCCCCGTGACTCAACCACCCCCTGGAGACGTCGATGCTGTTCTAGACTCGGGGATTCTTCTTCTCTTTCTATCTAGGGGCTAGAAGTATTCCACCCTCCATCACATCTCGAGCAAGGCATTCCTCGTTTAGCCTTCAAGTAAGTATCCTCGTATCGTAGCTGCTTCTCAAGTAACTCCATTCCTCACTCACACGTCAAGGAAGCTTATCCATAACTAACCTATTTCTGAAGTAACCCCATTACTCATCCCTTTCTCAAGTAAACCCTTCCATTTTTCATCCATCCTTCAAAGAAGGCTCCCATTTCTCATGCACCCTTCAAATAAACCCTTCCATTTTTCATCCATTCTTCGAATAAGGCCCCCAATTCTCATCTAGACCTCAAGTAAATCCTTCTATTCCTTATCAATCCCTCAAGTAAGGCCCCCAATTCTCATGCACCCTTTAACTAAACCCTTCCCATCCCTTACCACCTACTTCTCAAGCAACCCCATTCCTCATCCACCTTTCAAATGAACGTTCCACTCCTCCTCGCACAACCCTTGTGTAAAGTCCACATCCCCTATCCACCTGTACCCTTGCCTCGTGCGTCGAACGTGAAGGCACGTGCGTGACTCATAAAATTCGCCTGTACACAACGATTCTAAAACGAACTCCACCAATGTCTGCGATCGCCACGAGCACAATTTTTGGCAGCGTTCGCTGGCTGATCGATGATTAAGCCTTCCTAGATCGAGTAGCCCGAATAATCCAGTTGCAAGAAGTTGCGTAACGTCGAACGGAAATACCGAGAAGCAAGTCCCAATTTCAATCGATTCTTTAGTCCGAGTTCTCGTAAACAAAAAGTTTATCCTATATCTCGATTGGTGCCATCGACGATTTCCCCTGCAGGTGAATGCAGCAATGTTCAAAAGGTCAGCTCGCTATCGATGGGGGAGGTGGATGTCGCGAGAACAGATTTCCGATAAAGGAGAAAAACCAGTCGAGCCTTCGCACGGGTCAAGGTTTGCGGACGATTAAACGCACGATTTCGCGCCTGGTTCACGGAAACCAGGGAAATCCATTGCCATTTCGCGGTAGCCTTTTAAACGAACGACGGGTACGCGAGTTACCCATTAATCGGTGCAAAAGCCGGTTGAGGTTCTACCTCGGTGGTCGTTGGATTATTTACCCAAGGAATTAGAAAATAATTGTGGAATTAAAGAGAACAAGAATCACGATAATATTACTGGGATTGTTAAAATGAAGGAATAGATACAAATTTCAGCAAAACGTAAAAATATTTTTGGAACTATCGGCCAAACGATCGATTAAATAAAACTTGAAGGCGTTTCAAAGTATGTCAGTTTAAATCCCATCAATTTCTAACGACCGACGATTTAAACCCCATCAATTTTTAAAGACTGAAAATTCATATAATTAGCGATTGTTCTGGTAAGTCTAATTGGCGTTCTCATCGTTAAAAAGAAACTAGGAAACCCCTAGCTGTTAGGTTGGACCAATTAAAATTGATAGAACATCCAATCAAAATCGACGTATGAGAGAAGCATTCCTTTCGGGTTGGGAAGTTACAAAAGAGCCAGACCGATGGTTGGCAGGTCGAGGAACAGAGAACAACATTGTGCGACGTAGAGTCATTGGCTCCGGTTCAAAAATTCCGGCTGGTGACTCAAAAGCTACATAGTCCGCTTGAAAACGGCTAAATTTAGAGCACCGACATCGCGTAAATAGGTGCGTAGCCTTTGTAAAGGGCTCCGTTGTCTGCGTAATCAACAACGGATCCCTGTAATCGCTTTACCCCGAGTTCGATGATTTCTGCAGGGCGAATAACCCAGTTTCGAAAACCTTCTTCGACGGAGGATTCGTGGAATCCCTCTTCGGGGTTCAAAGATACAGATTTATATTCCGGGTGAGTTATCGTCGAGAGTCGTGAGTAATTCTCGAAAATCGGTCAGATAAAATTAATCGCTAAACAGAAGTCCACCCCGGTTATTCTAATCTTTAACGGAGTTCGTATCTGTCCTGAATTTCCAACGATCAGACGAGTTTCCTTGATTCTACATATCGATTCCTTCCAAGGAGCAGAGATAGACAAAACCCTAAGCTTCGAATAAAGTTGAAGTTTGCCGATGTGTTTATGTCGTTTCTTTCTTTGGAAAATGTTCAAAAGAGGAAACGAGACAAACATTGTCAGGACAATTTTTGTTAGTGTAAGGTAATAGTGTCTATTATAGATCTTTGGCTAGAGAGAGTGGGTACATCACCAGAGAAGATGATACGAAAACTGTCTAACTCGTCTGTCTACAGCTGTCACGTTAAACCCTTTTATTCGAAACAAAATAACACAGCCTTAGTTATCCCTACAGATATTTAATAATGATCCAAACAAGTAGATGCATCTGCTAAGCTAAGAGATGTCATCCTAAAAAAGAAACGTCACACGAAATCAGTCTTCAGCAACCTTCTCAGAGGAATTTCTACCCAAATCTCAATTGTTTACGCTACGTTTAGGATTCGAGCATCTCCCTAATTCCCTCAACTTGCTAAACTCACGCGAACAGAACAGTTTCCACGATTCAAGCTGGGTCAACCCGTAAATACCCGCGTCCTTCGCATTGCCGCTTGATCTTATTCCAAGAACTCTACCAAAATCGTCGCCGTCTCCTTGAACTAGCGATTCGAACACGGTGTATCCCAGATCGAGGACGTCAGCCCCGTCATCGGCAAAAGAAGATAGTGTCAACGACCTCAGAGGATACTTCGCTAGCACGCCGGTGTTTCGTGCCAAACAATTCGACGCGAGTCGAGTTTAGGCCGCACCCAGAGCACCGCCTTCCTTTAGATCCTTTTGTGGCACAAACGAGCAGAGAGGGTCGACCAGTCGAGGCCTCCGATCCTCTCGCAACTTCGAGTCTTTGTTCGTAACTCGGCGTCTAACCGCGTGGTTAGAAGAGATTCGACATGGATTTCGTAGCCCTTCGCACTCTAAGCTGGTCTAAGAGTCTTTTCTGCTCCGTCGTGAGCATGTTAACTAAGTCATTGGTATGAGAAAACGATAGTATTCGTTTCTGGCAAGATGTAGACAGATAAACAGGAGTATCTATGGTGCTACATATCTATACTGAGGATTTGGAGGACATGCCTCTAAAAGGGAACTCTGATTCAGAGATATCTAAATTGTTCTATGATATCCAGAAGACCAAGAATACTCGGAAGAAGATAAACAGGAGTATCTATAGTGCTATGTATCTATACTGAGAATTTGGAGGACATGCCTCTAAAAGGGAACTCTGATTCAGAGATATCTGAATTGTTCTATGATCTCCAGAAGACCAAGAATACTCTTACAAACAGTTCACCTAGGAGCAAGCTTTCATAGTTAACTATAACAACATTAGCATACGCTTCGGCGTGTCTCAGACAGAGAGTTAATTGAAAGACCTCGATTCCTGTGCCTGAGTGACATTGGAGTCCGAAGGGGTTGGTAAGGTGTTGAAAAGTGTTTAAAATGGACTCACCCTTGCTGCAGCGACGCTTTTCTCTGCAGACACGCCATCGAGTTCGACGCGGGCCCTGGCCGCCGTCGCGGCGCTCTGCTCTTTGTACGAGACGTCGCCAGTCTGCAGTGCTCTCATCTCGGCGGTGTTCGCGATCGCTTTTTCGGCGCTGAAGCCGTCCGTGACCACCTGGAAATTAACACAATCGACGATGCTTAGGTGTTCCGAGTATTTTTTTTTAAGAAATTTCGTAGTTTACCCCTGCAATACAATGTTAATTTCAGTCCGATAACAATTGCTTACAATTATTTGCGATGCTACATTCCATGGTCTAATTTGAATTAGTTAATTCTGCCGATTCGTTAAAGAGTACTTTATGAAACTGCTATGGTAACCCTGGAAGTGGTAAATATTATTCCGAGGAGTCGACGTCCTCCAGGTTTGATTGTGTAACAAAGAAAACCTCGGATTGCTCTTTAAAATTCACCAAGCTATGGAAACGGCGACCTTGGCCGTCGAAACGAAACGTGACGCGGTGAAAAGTTTGAACGTCGGCCGCGACGGAAGCGTAGTTTAAAGATAGAAACCAAGTGGAAAGAGATCACCTGTCGACAGCAGGGCGTGACATTCAACGATAAAAATAACCGTCGCGAATAATGTATCTGGACTCGTGCGATACGTTTCTCGATCAATTATCACCTGGTAATTCAATATTACACTTTTTGTCAAATATCGGAGTTATAGGCAAGTTTGTACGCAAATCGAAGACTGGGATTTCTGCCGTCGCGATCTATTATTCGTTTTATTTATTTATTTTTTCGCTTAACGTCCTCGTTGTGCGATTACGTAAGGTTGCATGCGAGATAAACATGTTGAGACATGCCGATACGTGTACGAAAGAGTTAAGGTTCGATTGAAATCGAAAGAGATGTCAACAGATGGTCCATTTCAAGGAAAATAATATTATAAACTACCAAGCTTTTCGGTGGCCTCCAAAATTATCTATTAATTTCAGGATGTACACAAGGATGAAGCACTACGAGGAAGAAGATAACGTTGTTAGTGTAATGCTGGGGACCTCACGACGCCACCTTCCGTGGACACGTAGCTGCCAATTTTTGGCCAGAGGAGTCACCTAGAGGCAGAGTTCAGAGTCCTTGACCTAGATTACCCAGAGGAAACCGCACCTCCGGCCAAACATTGCGCAGCCTCGTGTCGCCAAACACTCGAGGAGTCCACGCGACGTCGATGATTCCGCGCGCAATATCGAGGAAGCGAATCGAGTCTAAAACTGTCTCACGCTCATCTTTCTTCAAACCTGCCCGCAATTTCGATCGTGAATCAAGCGATTTCAACGTTTTGGGCACTATTCGGTCCAAGTATCTTCGAAATTTAGGACCATAAATCAGATAAATAGCTCGGCAGACGGTTAGCTAGATTCCAACTTCCTGTGTCTAGTTCGAAGAGCTTGTTCAATTTAAAAGAGATACAACTGGTATAGACTGATGATTAGACTGCGGATCTTTATGCATTTATAGGAAATTTGAATGTGCGAGAAACTACAAAATGCAAACAATATGCAAGAATATAAAAAAATTGAAAGTAAAGTTGATGTTACAATATTTGCAGAATAAAATAAATTCCTATTTAGGTTCAATTTTTGAAGGAACAGTCGCGAAGATTTTATTTTGCATAAAGATCCGCAGTCTACTGACGATCAAGGCGCGAGCTAGGGTCCTTTTGAAAGTATGTTCTAAGTAGATTTAGAATATTTTTGAAATCATCAAAATACACTTTCAAAGGAACACCTAAATGTAAATCGAGTATCGGAACCTCTGAAAGCTCTCGAGGTCTCAGAACCTCGAACAACTTGCCGAAGATTTGCATACGAAAGACACGTCCTCGTACTGACATAATTATTTATCAGACGCCTACATAACGTTAGCCTGAGTGCTGTCAAATATCCAAATACGCTTCCAACAGAAGACATCAGACAGTATATCAAATGTAAGAGCCTGATCCATTCTCTGATGGATGTTCTAGCTTATATACATAAATGCAAGTCATGTCCTTTTGTAAAACTGCCGTTGACTTCGTAATGCTAAACATTGAGAGGATCTACCGGAAGAATGAATAATTAGTAACGAAAGTGTATCGATAATAATACTACCAAACTTTTGAGTAATCTTCAAACAGCTCCAAGCTGCTGTTTGTGTGACAATGCTAAAATACTCCTCTTAACAAATGAATCAACGACTATTTATGCTGGAATTTCATGCTCAGTGCTCTCAGATGTTCCGTGTATAATATATCTTAACAAGAACCGGAAGCAAAAGGGTACGCTACCTTGGTCTTGGAGGCGCTGGTCATCTTCTTCTGCTCGAACTTCATCGTCTCTTGGCCAGCAGGCAAGTTCGTCATGTTCGAAATGTTCGATATACTGATCGGTGGGCTCATGCTGTGAAGATTGTTCAGCGAGTTCAGGGAACTCAACTGCGACGGGGATCCTCCCGTCAACGTCACCGCCCCCGTCCCCGTCGCTGGGGGCGGCGTGTCAGGATCGGGAAACGTCACCAACGGCTCCGTCAGGTCGCTCTCTTCCGTTCCGTTTCCGTCCCTGGGAAAACGAAGAGATTCGATTCAATCTGAAAAGCTCAACCAGGCGTTCACGCGACGAAGAGAGGTGGACGCTGTGTGAGACTCGGTTATAAATAAATCTTGGACCGCGACGGTGGCTCGCAGATGGACAAAATTCTTACTTAGATAATTCTAATCGTTACTTAAAAATAGAATGCTTCGGACGAGTGAATTATCTGTTTACGTACATTCACTTCGAAGAAACTGTTCATATTCTATTTAAAGAAGTTATTGATATACTATTTGTATTCTTCTCAAAGAAACTTGAGTTACAGAACTTAACGATATTTAAAATTCTTTGCTAAAAAAGAATTGGCAAAGAGCGTCGCTATTAAAAATCAGCAAATCGGAGCATTATAAATTTCATAAGCGCACACGAACTAAAAGGACTCATTTAATAGCCAATAAAGTATCCTCAAATCCCTGAAGCATGTTCCCGTTCAAAAGTATACCCTCCCAGGCACTAAAAATTTCGACTCGAACGAAATTTCCGCTCTTCTCAACGCATCTTTTAACATCAAAGCAAAGCGAGATTTCAGCCAAGCCCCGGAGAGGACCCACCTGTCCACGAGGTTCTCCATGCTGCTGCGCAATCGTTGCGAGAAGTTCGTCGATATGTTGCTCTTCATCTCCGAGATGCCGCGCTGAAGTTCCCTTAGGTCGCTTTTCATGGAGCTGGCTTTCATCTCACTCGACGAGGACGAGGTAAGAATCCTCTGCGAGGATTTGGCCACCCTGCTCGAACTGCTGCTGCTCTGGCTCTGGTTCGTCGTCAGCATCTGCGGAGTCAAAAGCCGTTTACGTTCTATTTAAAATCCACGTGGCGTGACTCACCATCCCTCGCCTATACATCCTAACTCTGTTTTGCTCATCGCTGCTCTATCGCGACCATCCCTCCCCCACCCTGATCCGCTCTTTTTCCCGCGAACGATCCCTCGCCGGCTTTTCCACGATTTTTCGTTTACATAACGAACGCGTTCAACGCTTACAGGGAATCGTTCGCTATTATTCGCACTCCGGTGGACTTTAGAGCTCGAGGATTTTGTAATCGACCTTCCACTCGTTTTCTCAATTCGTTCACGGTTATCGAACGATTAGCTGGGGATTTGGTAGCTGAATTTATTTCGTCATGTTTAATCGATTCGACGGGAAATTTTTCTGGACTCTGCTTTGGGAAGATCTGTTGGGTTGTATTTTTTTTTTTTTTTTTTTAAATTAAGGAAAGAAAAAGTAAGACTGGGGATTCAAACTCAGGATCATTCTATATCCTAACGGTCGTGTTATTATTTTCACTCCTTACGGTTGATTATGTGGGGGCGTGGCTATCACGATATTTTTGAATAAACAAGTGCTATATTACTATATTTCTAACAACGATACCTAATGAATAAGCTGACACGATATTAAGTAACCTTATGCACCATTGAATAAATAACAAAATACTAATTTGAAGTATTCCGAATATAACTCGCGTTTTTCTCGCCATCTGGGCTGCCTGGTTGATTAATCCGAGCATAAGGAGCGCGGCTAGCGGGTTCTGGTAAATATCCAAAGCGGTGGCCAGCAATAGTGCCAAACACCGTTCGAAATCGAAGAGTGGCAACGTTCTCAACGTCTGGGAGGCCTTGGGAAATCTGGTCCCCAAGGTTCCCGGACCTGGAAGTTCGGTCTCACCGACTGGAGTGGAAAAAAATTCACGTGGGCGACATTACGTAAAGCCACGAGTATGCCAGGCTCTGATTATTCAATTATTTCGTGCGAGACAGCAACTATCGAGTCGACAAAGTGGCTTCGCTGGTGCTCGGAGAAGATCTAGTCGAATAGCTTTTTGAAGAATTCTAAAGTGTCAGAGACGTATTCGATCCTTTTCATCAAACAACTAATTTGAATCCGAGCTAATACGGGCTGACTATTGTTTTCCCATGCTTCTGTAAAACGGAAAATATCGTTCGGTTTGGTGGAAGATGAATGAATCCATGCTTTCACGAGACCGAGGTTCGAATAACTTGCAGATCCATGAAAGACGGTTCAAGGCGTAATTAAAAGAGAACGATAAGGGTATCAGTGGGCGGCAGTGAAACACGTGGACTCTGTATCATTGCATAATATGTTCGCTCCAGCGACAGATCGCGCTCCAAAATCTCCGGACCGAAAGATCGAGCCAAAGGATTTTCGTCGTTTTCCTAAAATTTCTACGTGTCTCGTTAATAATAGGGATTCCGAGAGAGTTCAATGTTTTCCACCTGCCCGAACAGAGGAGTCGCCAAGAATTCTCTGTCCATTGCGACAACTCGATACAGATGATTCTATTTTGGCGGGATTGTGACCGTAACCGACCGTAGGTGTAAATCTGGATTATTTAAGTCGCGATGTGTGGGATCCAGATCTAGAAAATAGCGTTGACAGTTTATTCGAAAGGACACCCAAAGCTCGATCGCCACGTGGACCGAAGCGCTCCTCGAAGAATGACTATCGCGACTTAATTTTGGAAATTCTCTCAAGTCGGTTGCGAAATCACGAAGGGGTGAATAATTCCAAGTTCCCGTGTGTTCAGAAAATTCGGGAAAGGCGTGGGCGAGACGTCGCGACGGTCCGATTCTAGTTACGTGACGCAGAAGAAAGATCGTTTGACGAAGCCTTTAAATAGGAATTATTCGTATCGCGAATAGAACATGTTATATCGCGACCAAATTATAATTGAAATTTATCGACTCCGTTTTTAACTTCTACGAACGAAATCTTTGGAGGAGTATTTAGAATAGGAGACATACAAGGTGAACAGCTGTATATTGGTTACTTCTTGAATTACTATTAAAATTTGAGTTCGTAGAAATTGATATCATCCACGATGAACGAAAAAACTAGCAACGAAACAAGAAATACCGCGTGTTTGACGCATCGTGTTTGCAAAATCAATTTACTAGTCCATTTGACTTTCATACGAGTGCAAACATATCATCGCACTTTGTTTTGCTCGTTGGTTTATCAATCGAATGTTTGCAAACCGTCGTCTCTTTCGGCCGAGATTTTTGTTCCTCTCCACTCTGGTAGCAGTTTATCTACCCGTAGTGCGAGTGCACTCGCGAAAATCCGAAAAAGAATTCGTGAAATTTACCTGCGACGACGCGGTGACCTGTGGATGATGACCGACGTGGCCTATGCCGGACACCATCTTGTTGTTCTTCTTTTGAAAATTCTCCATGACAGTGTGCATGTCACCGTTTTCCCCTCCCTCCACTGGGAACTCCGACATCTGTGGACAAGCAAACGAAACAAATTTCTTAATGAAATTCATTCATCGCACGGCATTCATTAACTTTCAAAACTGGTTCTCGACGCGATAACTCCTACAGACATTCTGTGGTTATTTTCCTGGTGTAAACACGCGATGAGTACCATATCTACAGTTTATATTTACCGAAGTCTAACGTTGCTTCTTTCTCTGTCAAAAATGCTTCGAAACACATCCTGAAGTATTATTCGCAATTTTTTTTTTTTTTTTAAATTTGAATTCGATACGAATAAAATTTATAAACTTCATCGATGTTTCATAAATCATTGTCAGATTACATTTTACAAATCCATAAATATTAGGTTGTCCCGAAAGTTTCTTTCGCGAGTTGCACTCAATTATTTTATGTGGTCGTGCTTGTATAAATAGACAATCTAATTTCATAGATATTCATGTTGTAACAGCAATGGAGCAAAATGAATCGTGCACAATTCAGTAATGTAACATGAAACATAAACTATCGTGGATGTATTACTTATTAATAAAGCGAAAGAAACTTTTTGGACAACCTAATATCTTATAAATTTACCTATTTATTTATGTACCTGTGCCAAATTTGATAAATGTCTCAATTTTTCAACGTTTGTAAACGAATATCTATTCCTATAGCACGAGAAAATTGTAAGATATTTATTGCTGCTCGATCGAAATTCTAGTTGCGCCAGGAATTTTTTTTTTCAAACCACTCTCGAAACACTCTGTACTTTCCAGTAATTTGTCATCGCGTATTGGTGGCACCATTCACCGTATGGTAAATCAAACCCGAACGAAACTCGCTGCGACGTGAAATCAGGCGAATACGCAACCTGCGACACCCACGCGCGGTGTTAATAATTGCCTGAAGTCGATCTACCAGCTGATCCCGGATCTTGAAAATTCGTTCGAAAGCTGTCGACCTTTCACGGTTAATTGGCTTACGTGCAGAATGAAAAAAGATGCTTGGTTGTCACGGAACGTTATTAATTTCGAACGTATACAATTTTCTCGGCTTTAGCATTTTAATTATTTAGAAACTGCCCAGCAGAAGCCTTTCTACGTGGGGCTGTGTTAATACTTTAACGACTGTTAGCGATTCAACGCATAATAATTGGTATTATATAATATTTATTTTGCCTATTAGGATTGTTTCCAGATTGATATTTATATTAGGTTTACCGAAAAGTAACGTCGTTTCTTTTATATTAAATTCAGACAAATACATTCATGATACATTTCTATTTTTAATCGATTATGTAATTATCCTCGTTATCAACAACCTTTTGCCATTTAGTGTGCAAATATTCAATACTAAATGGATAAAAATCAATGAGTTGATGAATGATACAGAAGTGTTGAGATTCGCAGAAACGACATTACTTTTCGGTTCACATAATATAATATCTCATAGTTCGTACAATGTTACCTCGGTAATAAATATTAATTCCCATGGCAAATAGTCGACTAATACGCTACCAGTTGGTAAAGTGTTAATCTAGGCTGAAGTAACTCAAAACTTCATCCGTTTCTAAATATCGAACACTAGAAGTGACAAAAATGATACAAACAACAATTAATTCGATATTCGCCATATAATTTTCACGACTCTCTAAAAAGCCCCTTGGAAAAATTGCCATCTGTTACATTTAACAAATCGACTCAATTATTCCCTTTTGTTACGCTCTATCGAGTAATCGTCGGTAAAGTAAAAAATATCGCGTGTCGGGACCTAATAATAACATACGATCCGTTTTGAAAGAAACGCAATTGCTGCTGTCGCGTGCAAGTCGAAACGTGACGAGAAAAAATACACCGTCGCGATTCTAGGCAGTCTTCGAGAACGAAAAAAAAAATAAAAATAAAAATAAAAATAATCCGTTCCACGTACGTCGAGCGCTCGTGATTCCTGGGAAAAAAAAAGATGTGCAACGTACGCGGTCTCGCAACACGTCTGTTACGTAAATGGAACCTTGTGGTCAACGGTACCAGAGAGAAACACGTCCACGTATGCTTATTGTGTGTCAACACGAGACGCTCCCCGTGCGCACATGATCAGAAAAAAGAAAAAACGAACGACCGTTTTCGTAAATGTAAACACAGAACGCACGCGATCGAAAGTGATCCTCGTTTCGTTTCGACCTTTGAACAAACGTATGAAAAAAGGCAAAAAAAAAAAAGCACTCCATACCGAACAAACACGGCGATCGAAGGAGCCACGGGCCGAGACACTAAGCGGAGACACTGACCATTTGACAGTTCACCGAGGGCGCACTTCCTCTTCCAGCCTACTCTTTATCTGTCGCACTGCACCCCACCATACTTCTTATCTACTCGAGAACCTCGACCGAACTCTTACACCGTCGCCCTCTCCGAGCATCGTGTTGCGATTCACGTAATATCTGGCTGGCCACTGATTCGCGCGCGCAAAACAGGCTCGATTTTCACGTGTCATCGTCGATCGCTGGCTCAATACGTTCGCCGCTGTCGTTCGCATGGAAAACGCCCGCCACGGATCACGCTACACTCACGATTAAATACAAACAATTCGATTAAATACAAACGTGCACACTTTCGTCGACGTAGATACGAAATGAAACGAGCAGATCGAGCGAGTATACCGAAGAACACGTCGTAACGCGACTAGTAGGTTATAATTCGTTTGTTTACACGTACGTAAAATAACCTATCGTCGCCGTCACGATTGCGAGCCTCCCGCGAGTCAGGCTGATCCGCGAAACGGGAAATAGCGAACATGGTATCGGACTTTTTAGAATTCAGCTGATATATCGAGTCGATCAGTTTTGCTCTCGAGAGGCTCGTATGGACGGTATCTCACGCGAATCTTTGCGTCACGCGTACGCGATGCGCAATGATGAACGTGTTAAGGCGCGCACGCGAGTGCACGTCCATCTCGATCGCGAGCAAGGGCCTTTCGCGGCGAAGGAAACGCGAGGTTTATGAAAATTAACGGCGACGGTCGACGTTCGACGAATGGTTAGTACGGTTAACCTCTACCGGCTGGCACAAAGGACGTGAGAACGCGTGCGTGCTGCACCCAACGGGCCGATAAGCATCGCGTGACGGTCGGAGTCGTACTAACCGGCTGCGCCGCGGCCGTGGCGCGAGAGCCGCGATCGCGACGCCACACGCGCAGGCGCGGCGACCCCGCGAAACTACGCATTCCGCATAGCTCGCGCGCACGTGAGAGAAGCCTCGAATTAAGAACGAAAACCAGGTCGTTCGACGGGATTCTAGGAAAAGACCAACACGAAACCGATTAACGAAGCCGCTTAATCGCGTTGTGGCACGCGGTCCGATCGACGCGTTGACCTTTGGCTATTATCTCTCGAGTATAATTTTTTGTTTTGAAGGTAGTCCCCCTATAGCAGATATGCCCGCCATTGCGATTGCTTTAACGAACATAGATATGGAATTGTTGCTCTTGTTAAGCCGGCGACTGACTTGCAACAGAACGCTGTAATGTAACTCCTCGACACGAATTTTACGGTTCGACACCAACGTTACATTACAAGGTCCTTCTTGGAATCACGAATGCTCGCTTCGAACACTCGGCTGAATTCTCTCTCAATGCTTCCTACTCGATTCAGTGAAAAGTAGACGATCAAAGAGGTTCGTCAAAAAACCGACAGACCAGTGGAGCACGCTAGAGCGCGAACCGATCGCAAGAGTCCGTCCAGATCTAGATTAAGCGAATGCTCGCGTTACAATGTTCTGTTGCAAGTCAGTCGCCGGCTTTACACGCGTCTCGCTATACGAGGATTCTGTTTGGGTTCCTCGATAACCTCGAAATCTCCTGGGCAAGCTTCAGCGATGATTATTAACCCCTTCTGTTCTATATATGACCTTGAAGATTAACAGGTCAATCGTGAAACGTAGCGACGAAGTCGAGTACAGATTTTGTTTTGGAGCGATACTAGAAGGCGCTGTTTTATGAATGGGCCGTTACGTGGGAAAAATGAAACGCGTCCGTCTGTCGAGTCGGAACTTTTGCGTTGAGAGGAAAAAACTGTCTGCGAGATTCGAAGGAAAGTGTTTTTACCCGCGTCCCCGATTGACGGGAGGCAAAAAATCCGGGGTTTTTACCGCTACCGTTCCGAGAATCGAGTTATCGTTGTCCCAGTTTGTGTACGTTCCCCTTGGAGAGTGAAGTCGGAGGGCACTTAATGGGATCGAAAAATCGATCGATTTTATGGACCGTCTTCTCCGAATCTCGATGTCAATTGCGGCAAGAACTATCGATAGATGCCTGTACGGTCGTACGCGTTCGAATAATTGAAAGTGACTCGTTATAAATCATCCTCGATCACGACGGAAGCGAGTCAGCATCTGGTGAACGGAAAAGAGGGACACAAAGGCTGGAATGCGGTCTAACGAGGTGGCCGAAGAAAATTCGAGAAGGTAAGCACGCACGTCGCGTGGAATTTTGGCGAAAGTGTACCGGGTGCCCTCGACGTCCCTGCGTTGTTACTCGTGAAATAAAAATTAGAATTCGAACTGCGGAATTGAACATTTCGCAGCGTACATATCTAAGAGAACAAGGAAAACTTTCAAGTAATCAGGTATCGTTTTCTAAAGAAATTTAAAGTTTAGATTAAGTGTCCGTCTTTTGTTTCAAAATTCCTCGATTCTAGCGTCTCCCGTTAATTCAAGGGGTCCACCTGTGTAAGATATTTAAAAAATCAAAAATTTCTTTTCCACATATTTATCATCTAGGAGATATTACAATGACTGTCACAGAAGCATTATATGCGAAACGTGCCCGGCTCAGCGTCGTACTACTTTCGTACAAAAATTTAAACGCGTTTTTCTCGAAACCACGTTTTTTGGAAGTGGCGAGCAGGATTGCGCAAAATCCATTACACGAATCGAGATGAAATTTTTTTCTACAATTTTGAAACGTAATTGGTGGTACTGGCGGCGAGATTCGTGTTAATAAAAACATTTTTTCCAACGTCTATTAGCCA